TCTCTCATAGTTGAGGTATATCTATGATGAAAATTACCGGCCTCTCTCATCTTTTTAAGTGGGAGAACTTGCACTATTGGTGGCTGACTAAATACTTTTTTGCCCCACTGTATATTGCTAAACTCTGTGTAAAAAAAACTTTGTAATAGATAACATGTAGGTAATATCAGGGTTTAACAAGTACATACATCAATGACAAATTCCAACTTTTATAATAGTCCAATAACTTTGAAGTAAAAAAAAGATGAATACGAAAACTTTTCAGAAAAAAAACAAAAACCCTCTCTTACTTTATTCTGAGTTTTTAGATATTGTGCTATGCCTGCAATTTAGTGTTGAATCCATTGAATGATTTTTGTTGCATCAGTAGGCAATACTTTGTCATTTCCTACTGAAGATATATCTGACCTGACACCTACAGTTAACACATGCTGACACACAATGTAAGGTTTTGTCATTCCTCATAGACTGGGGGATTTTCTCTGTGATATGAAATTTGATGTTTCAGGTGTATGAGTGTAACCAGCTGAGAATATGACAAACAATACAGTATCTTTATTCAGATTAGGCTAACAATTTCAGGGTAAATGTCATTGTGAGCAGGGAAATATTTGACTATATATAATATGACAAAACAAATGCAGAGTAATTTCACACTCAGGGTTTCGTCTTCCCATTTCCTCTCTTAGGCTCTCGTTAGTTTCCTTTCCTGTCTCAGAAAATAAGGCAAAAGATATTGTACAAAAGAAATGTTTGTATACTTTAATTGTTGGGTCATGTCAAATTTCCACTTTTGTTCATTATTACCCATCTAAGTCCCAAAGTTTCAGAGATATTTTATTATTCTTTAGTTTGTGTTTGGAGTAGGTGAAACAATGTCTAGAAACGCCCTTTCCCTTCCACTGATACCCTTTTGGTTTTGAAAATTGTAATAATTCACTGCTAGAATACAGACCAATTTTATAACTGCTTTAGTCCAATGCTTTTGTAACAGAAAATAAGACTGCTGCAGAACAGCTGTGAAATAAGTGGAAACAAGAAAACAGCCAGGCTTAATCAGCACTGATTCAGCTTCTGCTTTCATCTCAGGCACAATGAGCGAACACAACACAAAGACATGGAAGGCATTCAGACAAACGTCAGTTTTCTTGATGACAGCTTGATAAATAACTGAAAATGCATGTTTGGTTTAATGGGACTTTTAGAAAGAGGAGAAATATAGCTAGCTGAGAATTACTTTGATCAAATTTGAATAAGAATGTAACCCCTGAGAGACGTTTAACTGATAATTGGGTTTTGAAGCGGTTAAAAAAAAGAAAAAAGGTTTAAGAAAAAAGTTAATATAAGAGTATTAGATTGAGTTGTATGACCATGCAATTGTACTACCAACTACTGCTAAGATGCAGTAAAAAGACTGACAAAGTGGGTCTGATTTTTCTCTCTCAGTCAAGGTGTAACCAATGCACCCATGATACTCATCACTTTCTTGTTGTTGAACCACAAAAAGCAAAAGCAATGTATTAGTTAATAAACCTGCCCTAAAACATGGCTGTTTTATTGCCCTGCAGCTTTCATTACAGCTTCCTTTATCGTTATAAGATAAATGTTAAAATGCTGGTTTTACATAGACTCCATCCTTTAATAATATTAAGGATTCACTATTAAACTGAAGGAATGTTTGAAGTTATGTTAGATTTTGGATTTAATTGTGTTTAGTGTTAAAATATGTAATTTACTGACTTAAAAATTGTGCTTTTGCTCAATTGCCTCATTACACATGTGTAATGAGGCAATTTACACATTTTAACACTAAACACAATTAAATCCAAAATCTAACATAACTTCAAACATTCCTTCAGTTTAATAGTGAATACACAAGGGCTCATTAGCCTTATAGTATATTGTGCAACTTCCGAAGTCCACACAAATTAATAATACATTTTTTAAATGGACTGTTTTGACTTTGAAAGAAATTATGCAGACCTTCTCATTGAACACTTACCTGGGGTTAGAGTCATTCTTACCATCTGTGCAAAGAGGACCTAATACCTATGTAATTAATGTGCGACACACATTTTGTGCAGCGCTACATATTGCTCTAGCAGTTTTAACTTACTTTAACACCTGCCATCTGTAGTTCTGTAAAAGACTGACTATTTCTGGAAGCTCATGTGACAAATTGGCCATGATTGGCTCTGTATCCACAGAGGGAGTTTACAGAGGACTGGTTTTTGTGGCTATAAGGTTAATAAACTTTTGTGTAAAAATCAAATAACTATATTTTAAAATATGCTTTTTGAGCTTGGCTAGTAATTATAGAAACAATTACACTTTGGTTATGACGACCTTCTTTTGGACTAAACCTAAGAATGGCACCAAATCAGCAGTGGGCAGGCAAAAAATACTATGGAAAATATTTCCTTCTAAGAAGTCCTTGCTTGCCAAGTAGATAAAAAAAACCCATCAGAAAATAGAATAGTTAAAGCAAAAAAATCCAGGTTAGCATAGGGAGGGAGCTAAAAAATGAGAAAACAGAAGCTACTGTGCAAATACCCTTTTATTTTTCCCTGTTAGAACAACAATAAAAGTTGATCAACTCATCAAATTCCTTTCAACTGAAACAGGTCAATCCATCCTGTAAAGTTGAGCAGTTTTTCTGTGCCCTACTATGTCAGATATTACCATAAACCTGCTCTTACAATTACTTCTTCCTTTAATCCAGTCTTTAATCCCCCCCTGAACTGTCTGGTCTTTTACATCAGAGTCATAATTCACTTTTATATGTCTTATTTAATGCATTATCTTTTTTCATTTATTTTCTCCCTTAATAACAAAAACTACCAGTATATGAAATGTTAAAAAGTTGTAAAAGATGCATGATCAGTGAAGCCCTTTTTGGCCAAAGCCATCAAAACAACTGACTGGATGTAGGTTGTTCTAAGTCCTCCTCAGAATACACATTTTTATTAACATCTGTTGGTTCCAGGAATATAATTACTATTGGTTTTTAAAAATATAAATAGATTTAATAGGTCCTTTTGAAAGAAGTTAAACTGGGCGCCATTTTTTCCATACCTATATTTACTTACATCTATTCAATCTTGAAATGTGAGAGAAAAACTGATGGCAAATAGTCAGAATTTTTGTTCCGACCACACAAGACAGAAGGAGGTTCTAGGTTTGGCCTAATTTATGACTACTGGTCTAAACAATTGCAAGTTATACCATAAACTGCATACACTCCAGGAAGGCATTGGACACACACTGTCTTTGAAACTGGGTATCCCAAACTTTATTTTACTGGATTTATCAGAAGTACCATGGAGAGCAGTCACAGTTAGTGGCGACACACATACAGAACAACTTTCTGCCTACCCATTGGTATTCAACAAAAATTAAAAACACACATACATGCCAAAGAAAATAGGCACAGAAGAATCAAAAACAAAGAACTTAAATCATTATTGCAAACCTAACTCGTGATATTGTTACTTTAAAAAAAAAAAAAACCCAACACCAAATCAACAAACGTGAAATTCATCATTGCAGATGTAAAAGGAGGATAGAAAGTGTATTAAAGCATCTTCAAAGATGCATTTAAGGATTAAATAAAAAAAGAAGAAATGTGAAAAAAGGGGATTTAGCAACCAAGAAACATAACAGATGGTTTGGAACAAGACAGATGGCGACTTAAATACAGATAAAGGATCTTGGAGACAGAAAGACCATTGAGGACACATGCAGATATGTTGTATGCATCTAGGTAAGAAGGTATAAGATAGAAAATCAAGAGGGTAGCAGTTGGCATAGAGAAACTGTTGAGTCAGTTTGGAAAGCAGCCAGGCTATTGTACGCAAAAAGATTAACAGAAAATATGAAGCAGCCTGACATTGACACCAACCACCATGCTTTAAAGCCCAATTGAAAGAAACAAAACCAAATGAAGATCAAATGGAACAAGATAAAAAATAGTTAAACCATCTAAGAAAGAAAAAATAATCAAATGGAGTGAAAAGGTAGAGAGAGAGAGAGAGGTTTTTAATTTCTCCAAAAAGGCAATATATGTTATTCTTGAGTGTAGTGAGTTTTTTTTCCTTTTAAATAAATATGTTGAATTAAATCTATGGTTAGTGTATGACCATAAAGGCCACCTCACCGATAACACTGTACAGAATATACATAATATGCTTTCTTTAAAGACAAAATAACATTTAGATGTACATACAGTATTCCTCATTTGTCAGTATACAGCCATTGTATTAAAAGTAGCAAGCCATTTTTTTTCTCTCCCCGTTTTCTTTTTTACAAATAACCCATGCAACTCCCATATAGATTTAAGATATATAATTCTATTATCTCCTCTCTCATTCAATAACAGCAGATATTGCCTTTTTTAACATAAATGATATATATCTTGATTAATGATGTGCAATTAATTCAAACAGACTTTGCAGCTTTGTTTGACTTAAGAAAAAAATTTAGCTCTGCACAAACTGTAACTTAAGAAGAGGGATCAAAGGAAAAATCTAAATCTGTACAACATTCAAACCTCTTCCTGTTAACACCATAGGAATGGGAAACTCTAGATTCTCTAGGACTATGTACAGGCATTTCATCATTCATGCACAGTGTCAACAAGTAGCACATCGACATTCCAAAACATGGAAAATGTGGCATAGGGGGAGACGGACGGGGGGAAAAGGAGGGCTGTTTTGGGGGGAATATAACAGAAAAATTACTGCCCATTTTGGTTACTTTGGCAGGACATTTAGAAAGAGAGAAAAGGCATGAAAACACACGAGGACGGATAAGACTTCATAACAATACACATGCTGGGCAAGAGGAGTCCATTTGTCTCACTGGCCCAGAAATCAATGTATGGCTGTAACTTCATTATTTTTTTTTTGTTATATTTTCATATTCTTCCCACATATTTTTTTTATTACTATCTGTCCTCTCTTGATAGTGTCCTGTACTTTAAAATGTTAAAGGTAAAGAATAGCTCCGGTAAGTTTTTTCTTTTAATCCCAACATTCCTTTTTCTTTTGCTCATTTTGTACCAGAGGAATGTCCATCCTTCCATCTTTACTTTCCCCCATTTCTTTGACTTTCCAGTGTTGCATGTATTTATTTCTCAGTCTGTCAGACAGTCGGTAAGCTAAGAAGTGAATTAGGCAGCGGAGACATATCAACTTTTACATGAGTAGCAACATTATTAATGGTTCACAACTGATCCAACACCACTTGATTATTATTATTTTTTTACAGGAACATTGTAATTACTGTTTAAGTCAATCATTAAACAAAAATATGTTTACATCGAAAGCGACTCTGCTAATCAAACGGTCATTTAGCCGTTTTATTTAGCAACATGAAGCAGTGCAAGGCTTTTCCTTCATTTTAAGATTCTACAGTTAAACAGCAAAAAGTCCAAATCACAGCAGTCAACAGCTCAGTTGTTTAATCCTTCGTTGCTTTGTGTTAAAGACTCGTTACTTTGAGGCCTGAGCCAAGAAACTAACTTATAAGCTATTGCAGTGCTTTTCTAAGAAAAGTTGGTTTATGACTTTAAAAAAACCCTGCCTGTTTGGTATTTACAGTTAAAGTTAGCAAGCTTGCTGGTTGCAGCTCAAAATTAGCAAGCCAGAAATTAGTTTCCCACCTCCGTTCAAACCATGCGGACAGCTGCCGTTAGCTTCATGTTAGACAAGCCCGTTAGTCAAGGTTGTAACATAGAAACTGTGTGCAACAAAGCTGGTGTTACAAGAGACCACCAGCCTTCAAAGTAATTTTTTTCTGTAAAAAAATACTCAGAAAATGGGCTGAATGCAAAAAAAAATTTCACGACTACAAGTGCCTCTTTCTTGTCCACCTGTTTTAAAATAAATCCAACATGTTTCGACAACATCTAAGAAAATTAATGGCTTCAAGTTATACTAAACCAATGCAGTTGTACATTTCTATTTTTATTTTTTTTGCTAGTATTACTATTTTAAATTGATTACAGTGTATAAACCTTCAGCTCCATCCCAGTGAAGAGACAATTACATAATAACTTTAATTAGAAAGGTTTGAGTTGAGTTTAAATGACTATTTCCTGCTGCTTTTTAAAGAAATGTGTATATGAGTATATTTGGTGTTTTTGGAAAGGAGTTTGATTAGAAAACCTTTTACTGGATTCGTTACAAATATTTGTGATAGAAAGATATCCCTTTGGCAAAATAGGGGTAAACTGTCACTCCAAAGACTTCATACAACAACAGTTATCTAATGCAGAGCTTTACATATTTCAGTCTTGTTTTGCCATTTTGTTTCATTATCGATGCAAGAAGGCTGTCTGAGCCATGTTGTTGGAGCTTTATTCAGTTAAGTTTTTCCTACTCTATTGTTCTACTTGATTATTTAAGAAAATCTAGAACATTTAAGATGTCTGTCTTTAGAATTCTCTGGATATTCATCTAATGAAGGCCTCTGCTTGACTACCACTCGCATCGATAACATTCTTTGACAAAACTACTGCTAAGTTTACAATGGTTTAACTAATCCAGACTAATTATTCTACAGATAAAGTTTAAAATACTGCTTATTGAACATTAGGTTAAAAAAAATATATTGAAATACTTGCCAATTAATTTGCATACAGTAGTGCTATAGTACAAGTATGTGTACACTGAGATTTTCATGGTTTGCAGCTGTATAAATAAAATAACAGTCTGAAGTCTAAACATCTCTCAGTCAAAATAGGCTTATTAATGATTTGGGCTGTTTTTGTTGTTGATTTCAAGGGGTTTTTTTGTGTTCCAATTAGTGGTTTTGACAAAATTTTGACTGTTTATATAATTATTGGTAGGTTAAAAGAACAGACAGCAAAGCTAATGTTTTACTATAATCTGCTCTGTCTTTCCAGAGATTGCCAATATAATTTGGACCACCGTCCCTCTGTGCAATCAGCTGCTGAAATTCTTTGCCTAAGGTTCATAAAAAAATTGTTTTAATTAAATTTTGTCTTAAAGTAGTGACTCCAATATTTTGTTTCATCTTGGATGTAGGACCTCTTGGTTCCTACATCAGAAAATAGATTTTTGTAGAATTCGGACCACCAAACCAGAGATATGAAAAGGCTTCGGAGCCTTTTGGTTTGAATAATATGTTTTTGTCGCTCCTTGCTGATAAAATGATGAAATGAATACAGCTTCTTTTTTAGATACCAATTTAAAGAATAAAAAGAAAAAGACCTCAATATTATCACCCTTAGAGGGAAAAAACAGTAATGAATATTGAGGAACTGCCTATATTTCTATCACATGGCTTTTATTTACGCTGCTATTGTGAAATCATAATGGTTACTGTAACATGATGAAGTATGAAATATGTTTTTCTATTGAAATATATTTTTTGGAAATAAATATTAGCAAAGAAATTGTGTTAACAGCATCCTCATGGTTAAACACCTTTATAAATCAGCTTGAATAAAGCTACACAAATGGGTGTAGCTAAAGCAAGAACTTAGACCTATTTTTAAAAGCTGTTTCAGTCAAAACGGGATGAAAATGAGCAGTTTGGGCCAAAAGTTAAGCAAAACTAGTTTTGATAGTTGAGTTATTTAATGGAGCTTCTTTATTTTTATTTTTTCTATGAAACAAAATCTTATTAAGGAAGAGTCAATCTTAAGTGTGAAAAGTGTCTATATATATCACCCCTAATGGCCAGTCTAACTATATTCTCAGAATTAGAAACCAATAGGAAGGACCAGGAATATGTTAGTTTGAACAAAGCCCTTAAGTTTAGAAATATTCAAATAAATCATTGAACAGTCAACAACGGCTTGTTTAGGAGGCAGGATATTGTCCAAGTTGTTGAATAAATTGAACAGAACTCACAAAGTCCTTCGAGTTTTGCAGAAATTGGCATCTATATTATTTTTTTTACTTATTATATGGCAACGATTTGACTGAAATATGATTGTGGAAAATCTCAATAGTTAAAAAAGGAGATTCCTTCATTAAAGAAAAGAAACCCCAACACACAATGATAACATGGATAATAGCAACGCGACAACTATGGTTTCTCTAACAGTTTTTGACGGTAGAGTGGCCTCTTGTCCTCTCAGACATGGCCCTATTAAAGGTAAAAGCACAAAATCCTCCACCATCAACTTTGATTTAGATAAGGACCTTAAATCATTTACATCTACAGTATAAAGCAACAGAACGAGGACCCATTTGAGGGGCCGGTGGCATAACCAAGACATTCAGAAAGAAACCAGTCAAGCTGAAACGTCTGTCCTCCTCATAGTATTTACAAGTGCCAAACCCGGCAAGGATCAAAGTTTCGTCAGATGGAACGGGCCCCTCCCAGAACAGAAGTCCACTTCAGCATTTCTACAAGCTGTGAGAGTCAAGAAGCCCTCAAGCACAATAGCATTTTTGTCTTACGCAGCAACAGCAAAAACAAGAGGCATTTATTTCACAGTAGTTTACCATCTTCCCACCTCAAACACACCGCCATACTCCTGCAGACACAGTTTGTTGTCAATAAATGGCTGTGGCCAAGGATCCTGTTTGTCTATTACATTTTTTAGCTTTGAACGTGCGTGCAGAAACTGATATTTTGAACCTGGACACAAGAGGATCTTTGCTCCAACTTGAGGTCTGCAGAGATTGTTGCTTAAGCCACATTTTCAAACTATGAGCACTGATGATCTATTTAAAAGTCCAACCCAATAAGCTGATTTGGATTCTCCTATCACGGATTTATCTGAAACAAAGGACATGTATTGCAACTATTGTGTTATGGTAAATTTGTTTTATGAATTTAAACCAAAATTTGTCATCGACAGCATGATGTGTGTGAATTTGTGGTGAGAAGGGAAAGGGGATTTTTTTTTGTATTCCTTTTGCCATCAGTGAAGTAATTTCTGTAGTGGCTTTGAATCTCAAGTATGATGTTCTTCCATGCATCTTTGATTCCCTCCGCTGCTATTTTGAGCGCATCGGAAGGTTCTTCATCTGTACATACATCCATTAATTTGTCATTTCATGTATTGCACAAAGGGAGGGAGTAATAGATCAATGACAACCTTAATTTTTTAAACAACAATCCATTCCGTTGATCCCTTTCTTTCATCCTTGTTCTTCTGCCCCACCCTTCTCTTCTGCATCTTTCTTTCTCTTAAAAGCCTTTGATGTGGCAATAGGCCTCCAGTGAGGAGAAGAGAATGTAGAGGAGCCAGAGGCTGATGAACAGCATGGTGGTCAGGACCTTAGCAGTCCGGGGCCCGCCAAGCTCCCCACCGATTTCTGGCCGCCGTCGGTACATCAGGGTGGCAACGGTGATAAAGGCAAATATGGTGAAGAGTGTAACGGAGAAAGCCAGAGTGCCAGGGTCAACCTTAAACTCGCGACCCTTGCTGTTGTGGTAGATGGCAGCAATGGACCATGCCACCTGTCAGGCACGAGAAGAACAAATGTTATGTTCAACATGCTTAGAATTTTAGAAGAGAAAGGATTATGAAGATTCATAAAGGCAAAGAAAAAAGCGATTTAGCAAATGGAAAACCACTCTGAACTCACCCCAATGCCAAGAAACACATTGACAGCATTGGAGCCTGTCACATTCCCAATGGATGCATCAGCATACTGATCTTGTGTTGCTGCAACTTTACTGGCAAAGGTATCTGAATGGAGAGAGAAAATAAAAGGGAGTGAACAGATTTAAGAAAACTTACAGGTTTTCCCTGTAGCCATTAGATCAAAAATTTACAGTATTACGTTATACTGTTTAGTAATTTGTTCTTATTTCAAACTTTATACACAGTTTGGAGACTTTAAACTGGTGATTAAAAACAATTGAGTACAGTTCCCATATTCGGACAAGAGGGAAAGGGAGGGTAAAGGGAAACGATAACAAGAAAGAGGGAAGGGAAGGAGGACACTAGGAAAGAAGGGTTGATTGGCTCAATGGAAGAAGAAACCAAAGCTTTAAGAATGTTTTTAATGGAAAGAAGAAAGGGAATAAGGATGGTGACCTTGGAAGGAGAAATACAAGGCACAAGGAAAAAGAGAAAAGAAAACACAGGGAGGGGACACAGGAGAACAATAAGAAAAAAAATTATGAAAAAAAAACACAGAAGAAATAAGGAGTTCAACGTTACCGCTTTTGGTAAGCTTGCTGAGCCAATTTTCAGATTTTAATAGCAAAGAATAAATTAGAAACAACAATGCTCCAACAATGTTTATTTCCTGGCTGCCTGGATAAGAAGGGATTTATTGCTTAATCAATAATTTAGAGGAATAAATCTCCAATTTCACGGGCAAACAATTTTTGGCCAGGTGGCCCTCTTTTGCTGCCTGGTTTCATTTTTTGCCAACTAACAGAAGCTCTAAAGGGGGACACTTTTCATCACTTTACTGACAGAATATATGAAGTCACTGCCAAATCTCAACAATAGGCTTTTTTGCGTGAACAAATAGCCAGTCAGCACTCTCTTCTCTCACTAATTAGCTGGCTGTCCCATTGCTGCAAGAGTTTCCATCTTGTTTTTATCTAGCAGAGGCAGAGCGAGGAGAGAGAAACTGTAAAAGCAAAGAGGTGAAGGATCAAAGGATGAGTAAGAGCTCTTTGGTAGTGACAGCCAAGTTGGCATTTGAAACAGAATGGGAAAGAATGGCCGGAAGGACCGCTTGTAAAGGAAAGAGGGTCAAAACAATGGACTAAAATAGTCCAGCAAAGACAAATCCCTGCTATACGTCTTAATGCTTTCAGGGCCATCTTGCTTGGCCTAACTGCGGCTCTGTTTGTGTCAAGCCTGATATTCCATAAGCCTGCATGTGTGTGAGTTCCAGAATAAAAGTGGCTGCATAAACACTGCCTGGGTGTTTGTGAACAATACCACCTGGGTCCAATCTAATGCCATGCATCCACCAGCTGGCAAAGGCTAGTGAGTGCGTGCTTCAGTCGCTCTGCGATGCTTGTGGGCCTGATTGAGTGGGAGTGTGTGTGGGTTCCTGCATGTTCAGCGGCTCTCTGCATGTTTGTGTAAAGCGGCTTTGACACTGCAATTCTTTCTGTGACAGCATGTCTCCCCTGAGAACTTCCTGCCCTTTTCCTTCTCTACCTCACAATTTACCCCTTGCCTACCTTTCCACCTCTCTCTACGCCGCCTGCTTTACACACAATCATCTGCTCCTCTTTTCCCTCTCGCCTCTTAAATCAAACGGACACATTTGGGAAGGTTTATGTGCTCAATCTGGTCAGTTTTCTGGCTTGTTCTAAAACTTGTTCACTGTCTGCTAATTTGCAAAAAAATCCCCCCCCCGAAAAAACAAAGAATCAAAAGAAAAAAAACGATGAGGTATCTTATCACAACGATTGAACATACGAACTTTCCTTTTTCATTTTTTTTAAATGTATAAATATTTTACCACTTATCTACAATAGAATTACAGGTTAAGATAACAATTGTGAATACGATCTAAAGATGTGTCTGCTAAAACCCATCTAGATTAAGACTTTTAGACCACATATGCAGCAGTTTTATCCTTGACATAATTTGAAATACTTCAGACAGGCTTCAATAAAAAACAAAACAAAAAAACCCGACAAACTGGAATTTATGAGAAGAAGACATTTTCTACATGCTGCAACAGATGGAAATCATGTGCTTTTGAAATGAGCACTGGAAAATTCTACACTTAGCAGCACCTGAAGGGAAAACTACACTTGTGGAATGCAAAGCTTAATGTGAGATAGCTGTTCATGACTGATGGCTCATTGAGTTATTGATGGGTGGAGATGGAGCGCTAGCAAGCCAATCTTAAAGTTACCAAGGCAAGCAAACCCAAACAATGTCACTTTGAATTAAACACAGTTAATCTTTTATATCAAGGCTTATAAGGAATAAAATAAGCAGTCACATTTTCTTTTTTTTGTGGCAGTTTTGTAGATGAACTGATTATAGAAACGAGGATTATTACCCATCTAATACGAATAAAGTGTTCTACAGAGGATATGCTATACGTTGATGAGTCAGTGAGTCAGGTTAAAACAACATTAACAATACTGCTGTTACTACTATTGAAATGATTAATAGTAATGCTAATCAATTTAGTTTAAATGATAATGTAATGATCCATAATCTGCAGGAAATATAGTATTTGAACAGTTATTAAAGTTGTTAGGTGAAAGATTTTTTACACGTTCATTTAATTTTATGTGCATATTGATCACAAACTATTTAGAAATGTTCCATTTTTTGTTGTTGTAAAAACTGGATTTTCATGGTTTTGGTTTTAGAGATATATTCTTGCCATATTACTAACAAAGCTCTGATGACATGAATTGCTCCTTTCTCTGTTTAACTAGAAATGCCTTATTGTAAACAAGGCTTTAGCTGAGTCCTCAAAACCACAAAACTCATTTCAGTTTATATCACTATACATTTTTTCTGCTCCTTTTCTTCAGTTTGCAGTGTTTATGTGCATTATCTGAGCTAACTGTGATAAACGGGGTTAATCATCTTGCAACCGCAGCACAGGATGGGTTCTATTAACTGTAACAGCCACCATACTGGAGCTCAGTTTCTTTGTGTCATTGTGTGTGAGCTTGTTTGTGTGCAAGAGAGCCCAGGGAGCTCCTCTTAATAATGCTGACAGCCTCAGGAAAGTTAAAGGACTTTTTTTTCCTGTTCTGCGGCTCTGCAAATTGGGTGCACATCTGTGTGGAGTCTTACTTCTTAGCCTGTTCAAGCAGATCTATTGGTCTGTAGATGCGGCTGTTGGCAGGTGTGCATTTTCTATAGGTGTAGGTAAGGTACACAACACTTTACCTTCATCCCTGAGCCCCATGAATGGGGATGACAGACCACCAGAGCGCAACATGACAAATGCACTTATGGTAATAAAACATTGTACTCGCAAGCAAACAGTTAGTGTGCTTACACAGGTAGCCTATTTCTCGGGTTGCATGATTTTCAGGTAAACATGTCTGTTCTTTGCTCTTTTGGTGTTTGCACCACAATACATCATCACAAGACAAGTGCTTTTACTTCCTATTTGACTGAACTGGGCCACAAATTTCTATTCATTATTTTCCTGTTTTCATACGAAAGTCTGACTCGCATAGGAAAATGCTTTCCTTATATCATACATGAAAATAGAAAAAAAATGTCCAAAATGTCAACATACCTGAAAGGGAGCAGTGATTAACACACATCTATACCTAAAATTGCTATCCAGAGGGAATTACACTTATGACCTTTTAAAGCTAAATGCCGAATGAAGAGGGAAAAAAAGATATGATTGGGCTGATGGAAAGTTCAACACTTGGATATTATAAGGCATAGACATTTAGAAATAAGTTATAGAGATACTTATGTACTTTTCAGAGGGAAAGGTACAGTGGGGGACAGGCTCGGACTGAATACCGGGCATTTGCACGGTGGGCTGGTCCCAATTTCAGCGTGTGAGGGCCGGCCCTCCTTAAATCATACTGGCCCCAACACTTACTCTGGCCGTAGCACCTACCTGTGATCGTAAATAACTCAAGGAGCTCAAGTGATACAATGTTAAGTACCTAAATGATGCATGCAGTATATATAGCCCTTCCTTATCATGGACATCCTTGTGACAGTTGGCGCATGGTATAATTTTCTATTTCTTCAAACTGTAAAATCCTTGCTAGAAACTAAATTATAATAAAACTAAAATGCTTTCGTTCGAATATTTTGTAAAAATATGTTGCGGGGTATAATGGGGTTTTGCATCTACAGGCTAACGTTTCCCGTCTTACGTAAATGGTTGCCAGGTTGGGATGTTTCTCAATCTGGCAGTTTAGGATGGCCGTCTATGGGTTAAACATGTTTTTCTTTAGATTTATGGCCTAAGAGATCATTAGACTTTGGTTCAAACTGTGTAAGATTCTTACATCCAGGCGGTTTATGAATTATATTAATATTTTGGGCTGGAAAATGTGAGTCAGTGACATCTGTCAGCCCTGCTGATGTGGTGAGTGTGGATATTAAGCAGCAGCAGTCACTGTTGTATCTGCGTTATTAACCAAAGCCAGTAAAACCACGTTATAGAAGTCTTGGTGATAGTTGTCATGTGATGCTTGAAGATCGATTGGTGAATCCACAATGTGTGTTCGTATTGTGTTTCACATTTGAGATGCAAATATTAATATAACATGCAGAACAAAAGAAGGGGAAACTTTCACCAAGGGAGGGGGTTGGCGTCTATTAGCCTTCAAAGCGTTACTTAGGTTTTGAAGATCTTTGTATGTACCGTATTTTCGCGACTATAAGGCGCATATAAATGTCTTTTTTCCCCCTCAAAATGTGCGGCGCGCCTTATAGTGCGTTGCGCCCCATGTGTGTTGTTACTACAGACGTTGTTGAGACCACCATGAGAACGTTAAAGGGGGAAGTGTGGGCATGGATTGTGTATAAAAGAACATGTATGTGCTTTATGCAGAACATTGTTGTCTTAACAACCCTGAAAATGGCAAAATCCTTTGTCAGACCTCCATTTCCAAGGGGAAATTTGCATGTCTGATTTAGCGCAGCTGTTTAATTCAGAAACAGAGGATGATGACTTCGATGGGTTTGATTAATACCTTGTAATAAATACATGAATAAAGCACAAACATACTCAGTTTTGCTCCTGCTCTATTTTTAAATGCACAGTAGAGGTATTTAAACGTAGTAGAGGACATGTACCTGTATATAAAACCCGCGCCCTATAGTCCGGTGCGCCTTATGTGTGTGTTAAATACAGTAATGGCACACATAACTGAGACTGTGCCTTTTAGTACGGTGCGCCTTATGGTCGTGAAAATACGGTACAATTAAAAAATCGTTCGAAGACCAGTAGCCTTGGTTTTTTGTGTTTGTGTTCGTGTGCCTTTTCTTTTCCCAGGTTTTGTTAGCAGGTGCAGTTGCAGCTTCCCGTCAGCTGTTGCTGCTATGGGAACTGGCAGTCCTTCTGTAGTCCTTCTTTGAACAGCTTCCCTCTTGCTAGTTTGTTCACATGTTGAAACAACTTTTATATAGCTGTGACACTGATACTGGTTGTGTTACTTGGTTCTGTCCTGAATTGGCTAGTGTTTTGTTCCCCGTTCCTCATTATGTTTATCTACGTGCTGATTTTGTCTGCAGCACCAGGACTCAGTTTTGTGGCCTTGGGTCTTTTATATTATTTTTGTTAAGCTTTGTGGTTTTGTTTAAATTGTATTTTGTATTTTTAGACTCCTTTTAGTTCCCTTTTCCCTAATTCTTCAGCGGTAAACTGAACAATAAAACATTGAAATTATAAAGCAAATTACATCTGGTTTTAAAATGTTCCTTCCCCTTTCTCCTCAGCTGAGCTGGGTTGTAATATAGGGTTTTAAAAAAAGACGTCAAAATGACAGTTTTATTTTTGCACTGGAATGAAGTAAAGGGTATCAAAGCACTGTCTCTTCATGTCTCTTCATAAATACTGCCTTGCTGCAAGAAAGAAATGAGTATCTTATGTAAGTATTTACCAACAAGGACCCAGCTGAAGCTCATTGTCATGGAACAGCTGTATTATTGCTTTGTGTTATTATAATTAAAGAATGTCATACTGCCCAAAGCTTTGTATCCATACATGCAGCATTAAATTAAGTGACTAACCTGAGTGTATTATTGGCTCTTTACATTCATTTTCAAATTTAGAGGAAATAAAGACACACAAAAAAATAATTTGTAGGGAAAATCTGAAAATAAATAAAGCATTGTGTACAAAAAGCATAGATGCTCACTTGAGGAAGTTTAGGCTGATAAGTTTAAGTTTGCAAATGTTATAGTGTTTAAAGACAATCTGTGAAATTCTGTTAGATTTTATGCGTCACACGCAAAAAAAAACACGCAAATTCTGTTAGATTTTATGCGTCACATGCAAAAAAAAAATGTAAAACTAATAAAACTGCTGGAAGTTGTGGAAAAATTCTTTATAAACTTTTTAAACTTTCACAATACTCAAAACATAAACTTTAAGTTGTTCCTCAAGAAATAGTTCACAAGCATTTACCTGGCACAGAAGTTCCGAGTGCGACAAATACGACTGCTGTGACGGAGTCTTTCAGACCTACGGTGCAGCCGAAATGAGAAGCCAGATCCCCTGAAAAATGTCACAGGAAGCAAAGTCCATGATGTAATCGCCACACTAAATGCTAAACATTTCACTAAATGCAGTTTAAACAGCAACCTTGTCAATGAAAAAACATATAATCATATAAAGTCAGTCACTAATCTCCTCCACTCGGAGGTTAAGTTACAAAAATAGCAAATATCCATAAATTGGCTGTTAAGAGAGAGAGCACTATAAAATTAAGGGAAAAAAGCTGGGTGTTAGAAAAGGTATAGAACCAACAAGGGTAACAACATAACATGCTGCAGTCATTTTTGCACATCTCTGTTGTTGCTGTTTTTTTACATATCCACTACTGTAAAAATGTCCAGAGCTGTTTATTGGTTATTTATTCTCCAAATGTGCAGTATTTATATTCTGAAAATACTGTACAGTAGAGTATTTTATTTATTTATTTTGTAACTCTGTCACTTATTCTGTTATTTCTATACGCTTTTTAAGGTCCACATTTGTGTGACCACTTTTTCTACAATCTTTTGCTGCTGTAACAATTATTCATTAAATATATAATTGTGGGACAATAATGGGATTTTCTATTCTATTTTCTATTCTTGGTTAACTGAAGTTTTAAGGGGATAGTAAAGCCAAGCCACTTAAAGAGGCATGCGGTGCCATTGGAACCAGAAACACATCTCACAGTCATATCTGGGGAGATGAGCCATAAATATCTTTTTTTTTTACTCACTACAAATAAATTGAAATCTAAATATGTAATTTTTTCTTAAAATAATTGTAGTTTTTCTTTAATTGAAAGGGTTAGTGAAACAGTTTGCATATTGAACAAGACTATTTACATTTTAAATAAGAAAAAGACAATTGTACTACTTATATTAAGGGTAAATGCACTTAAAGACATTTTTACTTATTTTTACATTTTTTTTTTTGCATTTTAGCTATTCCTGAATTAAAGGCAATATTGGCTAAGGGGAAAATGACTGGGAAAGTGTTCTTAAGTGTAATTCTCATATTGCAGCATTTCATTTTTTATTTAAATCCAAAGTTTCCAGATTCTGATGAGAATGCAGTAGGTCATAATTTCAGATGCTTGTGTTCTAGTGTGAACTAGATCTGGGCCCTCATGGCATTTGCTTGCATTGTTCCATAAAGTCAAAAATCAGCACAGTGATCCAGCAGGAAACTGTAAACCACCTAATGCTTCCTTCTGCTAACAAGACTAATGGAGATAAAAGTTTAATTTCCCAGCCAACGGTGTGAGCTGTTCACACTTCAAAGGGTATCAATACATGCTTTATTGTTGATGTTATAACTGTAGTTGGTTGGCCAACAAAGCCTGCCTGAATAATTAAAATAAACTGACATAAAAACCTGAAATGTGTCGCTTTGCGTACAACTCGCCTATGAAGAAATGTTATTTTCAACTGATCTATTAAAATAAACCCATTTCACAGTATTGCTCTAATTTGTTATGATGGACCTGTCAAGTGCGCCATTATATTTGAAACTGTGCTCACCGATGACAGCAGTTAGAAGTCCAATCATACAGATGGAGACAACGAAGCAGGCCCAGCCGCTCCAATAATCAGTGGGGGGGACGAAGGCAAACAGAACTTTCCAGAACACAGTGAGGAAATGCATGACGTAGTCAAAGCATGAGGGCAGTTTTTCCTCCCCGCACTCTTCATCATCGTCATCTTCACCTGAGGGGAAGAAGGAGAGTTTAGGTAAAAATAAGGCTGCAGAGCCTCGATTGGTTTGATCTGTCAACGTTAAAAGAAACATGGAAACCGCAAAAGAGGAAAGTTTTTATGTGCTGTTATTTACAAAAGCAGTCGAAGGCTCCTTTCAATAAAAGATAAACTATATTTAGTTTGAGGCAATTTCTTTTTCCTTTTGTAAGACGTTTCCACCTTGGTTCCATCAGTATTTCCCAAGTGATCCCTGCTGGCAATTCTGCAAAATTTGTTTTGTTCGACAACAATGGAGACAGGAGAGTGTTTTACAGGTAGGTGTAGCTGATGTCTTACAGATGGATGTCAAATTTAGAATGACTAAGAAAATACAGCAAGATAAAAAAAATAGCCATGACACGGTACAGGTCAAGTCAATGTTTCACTTCATTGTTGCATTCATAAAAATAATCTTGATTGTTTAATACCTTTTCTAAGAATCTAAGTCTAAATCTAAGTCCGAACCTTTTTTGAATCTGTTTATCCAAACTTTAACTTGATATAACATATATGTAATGTGCTGATAAAAGTCATCAATCAACTCTAATAAATGTCAGAAGCCTATTTTCTGCCCCTTCTGTCCAACACATCTGTGCAACGTCAGTATCAGGCTCTAATCACTTCCTCGGGACATAAACTGCAGCCATTCTGAATGACTCAGACTGTGGATATTGATTGTGATTTAATGCAAGGACCACTGAAACATAAAATTCAAATTACTTTTCTGGCTCTATGGAACCCCCCCCCCCCCCCATTTCTGCTCCATTTAGAAAAGACTCAAACCCACCAGTAAATGAGGCTCCATGCTGCTTTAGTGAAACGCTGTGATTGGGTGAATCCCAGTGAGAGCAGTGACCTCCCGTTGATTTCACCCGTGTCATCCACTTCCCATTTACTACAAAAATTCAAAAAGCTGGCGATGCATTTCAGTTCCCCAAGCAACCAAGCGCACCAAACATTTGCACTTAAATGAGTCCAGCTTGGACAGTTTTCCACCCATTTGCTCCCACATTTTAACCACCATAGTTGCAAAAGCATTGATTGTACCAACTACCAGTTCGTGGACATTTTGCTTCAGTGGACAATAACGTTCCTATTGTGGCTGATCGTTTTTGTAGCAGCTTGCATTTGCACAGCAGAGGCATGTATTTTAGAGACTGCTGAAACATTAATATTCCTTTGTCAAGGAGGGCATCTTAGTTTATACTTGCACACAATCATATTTATTCTAACTGCATAAAGTGCTTTTAGCATTATAAAGAATAGATGTACCCCTTCCTAATGGCTGTCCTGGGAACAAAGCTAAATTAATGTTTAAATGACCATAAATGAAAATAAAATAAGGTTTTCGGACCAGATTATCTCACACAACAGGGGTCTTTAATTTTTGAGTTAACAATGAGCTCATTAAAAGAATGGCGTGTACAATTTCAATAATGTAGGGTTGATAAGCAATACAAATGTTGGTAATCTAATGTAACATACTGTCACACTTTTGCTTCAGGGGCTTGTAATTGGAAAATAATTATTTCCATCATCAGCCACAAATAAACAGGAAAAGGTCAGTGCAGCAGGCAATGCTGTCAAAGATTTGAATCAGGCATACAAACTTGGCCATGAATTATAAAACAGGTCCTGTCATCCGTGTTATATTGCTTTTTACTCTCAGCAGATGTCCTTCCTGCTCACACACGCCGTCATGTCGGACTGGAGACATTTCCCTTACTTCCTTTCTCCTTTGGCAAATGCTGATGTGCTTTAACAGCACCAATATCCCCTGCTTTCTTTTATCATCAAGTATCAATTTAAAGGTTATATTTTCTGTCTCACTGAAATGCTCTACAGTTTATCTTCTGTATGTTTCACACATAGATTCAAACATCCTGGTACAAGGTCCAGACCCTATTTCAGGGTGAAGTGGATTGTATGATTGGTCTACAGTAAGAGTGAATGCATTTCTTGTTTCAACAATAAACAACATAAGACAAGTAGAAAAAGGATGCCTGGTGTTTAGGCAGCTTTGTTTCTGTCCACTGATTTTCAAAATTATAATGAATAACATTGTAATAATGGGATAAGCAGCTTGTTTGTAAAGTGTTGGCTTACATTCAAACCATGAAATCTACTTTCCTTACAAGGAGTTGTTTGTAGAGGAAGAAAGTCTCTGCTTGATTTGTAACGGAAGCAAGATCCATACCATCAGCTCATTTGCGCGTGTGCAAGCAGATATTAATCAACGTCACCATAAATAATGGAATTACAATAGTAAAAGTCGAATGGAATTACAATAGTAAAAGTCGAATGGAATTACAATAGTAAAAGTCGAATGCAATAGGCATTCTCTTCATTATATTGCTCGTCTGATGTCATCATCAGACATACATAGAGTAGTCCGGCAAAATATGATTACACAGCTTTCATCTATCTTAGATTATGCACTATACTGTATAGCTTAAAAATACATCAAAATACAAAAAAACTAATTGCTTCAACTATTTACCAAATCTAAAGCCGAAAAATCATGTGTTGTAGGAAGACGGTATTCTGGTTGCAGATGTGCAAATCAGCTGATGACACAGATTATGCTCCTATAACAGATTGGGTAGTAATAATGCAAATACCACAGATACAATAATGGAGGGATGTGCTGATAAATGGTGCCACACGAACACAATGCTACTGGCGGCGGACTAGCTAAGCTAGCCTTAAATCATATTCGTAGTAAGCAGCTAATGTCCATGACACACTGCCAATGCTTTAACTACATCTGCACCAAGATCCCGATATGCTGCTATCATCACCAAAGCTACCAAAGACCCATATTCTAAAAATACATTAAAACACTATAGATCCCTACAAGGACCGTCCGTCCATGTTCTGGTTGATTTATTATGGTCATCACCATCCTAAAGCCAGGTTCATAATGCACAATTATTGCCAGTCTTGGTCAATATTATTCGTCTTGGCAAAGTGCTGTATTGCTGTGCAGTGAAACTGCTGCTTTGGCTGACATCTGACCCACGTCTGACCCCGTTTCCCTTATCCTCCCCTGTCTGTTTTGACCCGATTAAAAGCACACGATCACCTGTAACCTGATGTCCACTCATTGTCATACTGACATCCATCCATCCTGTGCGAGCTGATTTTATTTTATTCATGCAGTTTGGAATGATATGAAACAGGTTACCATCAGGTGTGTCTGGCTTGAGACTGGGCTGAAAACTGTAAAATGCATCAGTTTTAACTCTTGAAAAAAAAGAAAATTCTATAATGTGATCTTATAGGCTTTTTCTCTCTCATCTGCACCTCCCATCCATAGGCAAGCGTTTTAGAAGGAAATTACATTTTAAAAGATTATTGCCAAATCATTAAATATGTAAAAACCCAATTCATTGTATGTCAGCATGAACCTTAAAGGGTTATAACCCGGAAAATCTTTTAAATTATAAATTTTGTTCTGACCACTTTTACATAATACCCCAGCTGTCTGATTAAATGAACCATTAAGGACTATTTGTGAACAATGTAAATTTAACATTATTGTTTTAGTTAATTCAGTTCCTCACCATACAACATTCATTTTTTTTATGTTTAATTAATCTCAAAGGCCTCATTACCTGCTGGCCTGAAATTTACATCAACGTTTTTGGTAATTTCTTACATGGACTCCAATATTTATGTCAGAAAGGGTAAAACATCAGTACAAAAAAGTTTAAACCTGAAGCAGCTATCTTATTTTCATAAAGTTTGACATAAACGAGAAAACGCAAACCAGTCCCTTTTAAAAATATCTAGCATCTATTGTGTATATCGTCCACAAGGAATGTTATTGTGCTTGTGGAAAAGCTGAATAGGAATGTGCTTACAAAGCTTAATAAGATCCCAGTACAATGATCGCACCCATCTGCGAGTGTCTGAAGATTTTTCACCTAATGCAAGCTTCAGGCAGAGATCAAGGCAGGGGAGCAACTCTTGATATTAAAAGGATCATTGATCAGTGGCATTTTCTTATTCACTACTAGGGAGGCTAAACCTCCCCAATAAATTTAGTAAATTAACTGGTCAAATATGCATTGTTGAGCTTCATAAATGCAGACACTAAAATGTCTAAAGTGTGCACTAAAATGTGCTTAATTCTGTATGATGACATGCACTCCTCTCCTCTCTAAAGCAGCTCCATGCAAATTCCGATGAGGTTGGAGGCTTCGTGCATTGAAGAAGCCAGCAAGAAATTTGGGCCCTGATTGCATAAAGTGCAAAAAAATCATTCACTTTCATTGAGGCTAAACCTCTTATGGGGTCTATGGCACAGTGGCGGGTCAGGGGCGGGTCTTGAAGCTGGCTGCTCGATGCTGATTGGAAGAAAAAACTCTGACTGGACTGATAGTTGCCAGACAGAGAGGAGGTTTTCCTCATGGGACTCAGACGAGAGGAAAAAGTGATTATTCAGTCTATACAGTTGTCTTGCTGTGGTTTCTGGATTTTATTATTTCAGAGAGCTGTACAACAGCTACATATAGACAAAACTGTAAATCATGACAAACTCCCAGAGTTGTTGATCGTTACTGTTTGCATCTTGGTAAAGTTTTGTTTGGACGTCTCTTTACATTTAGATTTAACACTCCTAAGCCTGTCCTGTTTCAGAGACCAGCAGCCGCCACTGTCATTGATCACAGATCATGTGCACTGGCAAAAACAACAAAGAACACAGAATAGATTTTTTTTTTGTTAAAAGATATTTTGCCAAGAAACTAATTCATAAAAATAAAAAAAACAACAGTCGGAGCATAACTGATAACCTTACAAATAAGCACCATTATTTGATTTATTTTTATTTTTTTCCCTGAGATGATGCTAAACTGTTCTGGAAGATTCTAGATGATGAAGTACAGCCATCTTCACTCTGGCTCAGATTTGTCATATCATTTTTTTCACCCATATTTTATGCTTCATTTTATTTTTTCACCGCT